CCATATGCAAATCTAATTTTCTTTCTAACCATTTCACCTCAGTGGTCTCCTTTTGTGTGATCCACCATTCTCTTCTAACTTTTGAATTTCTGTTCATTTGCTATTGGCAAGGGTAAGGTTGGAAATAATGTGGTCTTTCTGTTGAAATCTGTTTTCCACCCTCAATGAGAGGAAGCAAAGGCATGAATATGGCACCCTCATAATGATTAAGCTGGGGCTTAATGAAATTTTCATCACAACCTGCTGTTCATTTTAATGGCCTTTGAAAAACAATGGAAAAATAGCTTGAGGGAAGAAAAGATTTTTTTGGTGGCATATATTTGTGAGTTTCACATTTAGCTAGCCGCTGGATCTCTGTTGTCCTGATCTCTGTGTTGGAGTTCTCTTTATAGAGCTGTAATAATGTTTAGCAGTTTTCAGTTCTTTTGTGAACTATATTCCTAAGTAGTTTATTCTTTTTGGTGCTAGGCAGATCACAAGCTATAGATCATTTGTGCTATGTAGAATCTCACTGTTCTGATCTTAGATGATGTAATGTTTCAGTGACCATCTTCTGGTCCAATAAAATCTTATGATTATCAAGTCTTTATGTACTTTCCAGTTGCTATGACACACATTTCTTGTGATACAATTCCAGTTTTTCTTTTTGCAATTAAAAAAATAAAAATTCTTTCATATTGCATTCTTTCATACAATACAATTTTGTGCAGTACAATTTTCTATCTTGTAATATTTTAATTTTTTGGATGAACTAATAGAGATTACTAATATAGCTATTATATATATATATATATATATATATATATATAAAATTTCTATCTTTATATATATGTATCATTTCTATCTTTTTATCTGTTTGGATTTTAAAATAAAAAATCTCTAAAAATATTTTAATTTTTCTTGATTAATATAGACACTTTATTCAAACACAATTTTTGACACATATCTATGTTTTCAAAAATTAAATACACATTCTTGCCATGGAAAATTATCAGCAAGAAATCTGTGTATGCAAACATAAATGCATTTTCATGACTCTATATTCACATAAAATTATTTCTAAAATGCAGATTTTTAGATGCTTGCATTTTTCAATTTATGTCCCAGCCCTCCTTAAATATTACCTATGCATTTTCTCTTTGTCTTTGTATTATTTAACAGCAAGTCACTCATCAGCTGAACTTTTGAAGTGTTTTAGGGTATTGTAAAAAGTATAGTAAGGTGAAAGAGAAACAAAACAATGTAATGTCCGTGTCCGACCGTGACTTTTGTGTGTCATCCTTCCTGCTATCTGTTTCTTTTACCTGATTAACTATTACCAGATCTTACAATCCCCTACTAAGTCCCTATGTGTCTTGCTAAGTTAAATGGAAAGTAATACCTCCTGCCTTCTCTCCAGTTGGGGTTTATTAATTTGGTTTAGACCTGTCATATAATTCCAATTTAAGACTTCACGCCTCCAATTGTAAGTCAACATGATACATGTTGGGCATACCAGGTTTATGCACCACATTTCTACAGAGAAACCCTCCGAAGATAACTCCCAAATCTCCTCTTTAATATACGTAATGCATACCTCCAAAAATTCAGTTTTCCATAAATCTTAAGCATTCCTTCCCAATTACATCCCAAACAATAGATTAAAAATTAACACATAAGAGGAATATTTTTAAACTCATTCTGTGAAGTCAGAATTGCCCTACTTATAAAAATCGGGCATTAAAATAAAAGGAGAATACAGATCAGTGAATCTTATGAACAGAGATGCAAATCTGCTTAACAAAATATGAGCAAGTCAAACCGTGACTCAGTGGTATCTCAGACAGTCTAAGGAAGAGTACTAGGTAACTTAAGTGACTTAGGAGACACTAGCACTAAATAAACAAAGAAATCAATAAGCAAGCTGGTATAGCTCCCTGCAAAGTACCTGAATTTAGTTAGAGAAGGAAAGACAAAACAGAGAAAGGGAGGGCACAAGAAAAGAGAGAGAGGAAGAAAGGTAAGAAGGAAAAAAGGAAAGAAAGAAGGAAGAAATAAAGGAAGAAGGAAGGGATGAAAAAAGGGCTTATTTTACAATTCATCAAGCTAGGAATATAAGGCAAGTCTCCTCAACTTGAACTTCACAATAATCAGCTACAAAAACCTACAGTGAACATCAAACGTAGTGGCTGAAACTGCGGTGTTAGCAGTTAACAGTTGGTAGCTATGCACGTATACTGGACCTGAACAATCAAGTGGATGTTAGATGGCAGGAGCAAGGTTCCTCAAAGATGGAAGGGAAAGTATGGATCAACAAGGGAATAAGCTAAAGTTATCCATGTGGAAATGCGTCAGTGTTAGACTTTAATAATAATTCGTGTTTCCAATAATTAGGTGTTAAACAGAAATATTTATAGATATGCATATTTACATGTGAATATACACACATAATAGTTTTTGTTCTGAAAGACCCAGAAGAAATAACCTTTATGACTTTTCCACCAAGAAAAGGAGCCAGCGATTCTTAGAGAAATGCTCGATTGCTAAACTAGGGCAGCAAATATACAAGATGAGCTTTCAGCATCTTATTCTACCAGAAAGTAAAGAAGTGCTAAGATAATGATAATAAATACAACCACAATGATAGTGGTACATCAAAGTGACACACAAGTATAATTTGTAAATATCCATGAGTCCATAATAATACAAATGAATGACTGAACAAATTAACAATTGGTAGAGCAGAGATAAATTTCCCATGCAATAGGCTTCTGAAAAAGTTACATAGACACTCCATTCCAAACAAGGGAAACATAACTTGCCATTTGCTAAACGTGGGGTGCAGATCGTGCTGTCCTTTTTAAAAGGAGTATGGTTTGGAAAGTGGGTAGGAGCAACCTAAAGGGATACCTCTGAAAAGCACAGCTTCAGGAAAATGATTATGGTCAAATTTAACATGCTTAATGACATGGTAATGTGCAATGCATATGGTGAGACAAAATTGTACCTGCGACCCAACGCTAGCTTTAATTAAAAATGTATCAGATAAATTCCAGTAGAGGGACTTCCTGCAATTTACATGAACATTATCCCTTAAATCAATATCCATCATAAAGCTATAAGATTCTAAATAGTTCATCATGAAGAAATCATAAATGCTTAAGGAAATACCTGATTAAAACAATAAATGGACTGAAACACCACATAGAAACCCATTGATCTGTACCAATGTTTGTTTTTAATATGTCAAAAATTTAATTTATCTAAGAAAAGCTAAACTTAATGCAAACTAAGGACAGCGAAAAGAAGCCTAAGGAGACAGAACTGGATGTAATTAAATCTAATGTGATAACTTGGATGGCATGCTAAAACAAAAAAGCATTCTCAAGGAAAAATAAATTAGTCTGAATAAACTATAGGCTTCAGTTAAAAGTACTGCATCACTACTGGTTTGTTAATTAGGAAAATACATCATACTAATATAACATGTTAAGAGAGAAGACTATAGGGGAATTTATGTGGGAAGTCAGTACTCTGTTAGTTTTTCTGTAAGTGTGAAACTGTTCTACGAAAATAAAGATCTACTAATTTAAAAACAATATTGTGTAAACGGAGTAGTGAATTATATTATGGCCCTACTTGAAAATAGTAGGCTGCTATCTTTTTCAAAATGCATTTAATGTTAGGAGATAACAGTCACAGTGAAATGCTGTGAAATAAAGATGTAAAATCAAAAGGAAAATGTTAACCCTGTAAATTGAACTGAATATGTAGAAATAAAGATCAAATGAATCATAAAGGTGAGCCCTATCAAAAAGCTACAATATCAGTTGTTTTTTATTTTAGTCCTTACAATATTTTGTTTTTATATCAAGAAAACCTGTACCATTTAAAAAATAAATATTGTCTGGATTTCCCTTAAAATGCCATTTTCTCTCCATAAAAGTGGGAGAGTATAAAACAAACAAACAAATAAAAAAAATCCTCGGCTGTCAAGGGTATTTAAAAATTATTTCTATTTCTAAGATCCTAAGAATGTATAAACTTAGCTAAAATCCTGATCCCAGTTCTACAAATGGTAGGGTTCCAGAAACACTTAATTATCACATGACTCCTAAAATATTTTATTGTCAACATACATTTGATATCAAATATATTCATAATTTACCAATGTACTAAAAATTTAGAAATCAGCTCAGTTTAGTGTTTCATACTGTACATGCAGTTATTTCTGGTGTAAAGTATGTCTCTTCATGTCACTGTTGGTTTGTTTGGAATTTTCACGGACTGAAATAAGAGGAATGTTCTTATATGTCATATGCAATGTGGCTTTCAGGCTTACGGTAGACATAGGTTTAAATGGAAGCTAGTGAGCATCTGTCCATAAAGGATGACTGTCATTTATGCATAAGCTCCTACAAGCTCCATCAGTTGTTTTTCTGAATTGTTTGCTTTACCTGTAAAGTAAGCCCATGTGAATATCCTTTCACGCTACTACATGCAACTATTAAAGAGATTTAGAAACGAAGTCTTGAAAGACTTTCTGGAAGCTATGTACATGTAACTGAGATAATCACTATTTTTAAATATATAATAGTCCTAATCACAGCAAATTTGGACTATACAAGAAGTTAGAATAAGATATACTTCAAAATTCTAAATTCTAAAATAGTACTTGGGAAACATGGACAAGAGACAACATACTAGATTGCAGATGTCTGACACGCAGGTAATTGTTCTGATTTCTGCGGTCACTCTATTCTTGACTCTTTAAGCTTCATTCAAACCATAACTTACCCAAGTGTGAAAATAAGGAGGACATCACAACATGAATTTATGATTTAAAAATCCAGAGAGACCTATTTAAGTGTTTCTAAGAAAAAATACCGTCTTCATAGTGTTAGATTTGTAATGCCTTCTACTTAATTTTAAGAGTACGAATCAGAAAGCAGAGCTAGAAGTTAAAAACAAACTTCAAAGCCAGAGGCAGCAACCACTTTGTTTCCCTTTCAAGCTTTTACCTTCTGGCTCGTTTTTGATGAGCTCCTCCATTTTCCTCTGCTTCAAGGTGTCAACAACATCAGCTAAGCTGCCCTTGCGTCGTTCAGGGGTCCCCAGGGCCGTACTAGACAAGGACTCGCCACTTTGTCGCCCACCTTCTTCTGCCTTTTGAGGTGAGGTAGATGAGTTGTGTGGGGCAAATGAAGACATAACTTTATTGCCATCAACTTCCTAGGAGAGAAAGCAAAGGAAACAAATTTTTCATTAAAATTTTAATAACTTACAAATAAAGGTGATGCAGTATACTCAGCTGACACATTCAAACAAAAAAGCGAAGGCCTTCTGTCACAGCAAAGGAATAAAGAAATTTTGAAAAGAAGTTAACTTTAGAGCCTAGCACTTGAGCGAGGTAATGAAAAATTCACAAGAGAATCAAAATATGGGGTTTTTCTACCTTACACTGACACAAGTCTTAAATGGCGATATAATCCTAGACAATTTACAAAGCTTACATTGCTTAGATTTATTATTCTGCTTTTCGTTAAGTCTCAGAATTTTTTTTTTATGAGCATAAAAGGTACTGGTCACCTACATTCAACTTCCTCAGTGACATCATAATCTGTAAAAAAGTAAGATTTGATTTACAGCGCTTTGTTTCCATTTTAAGTAGCCGCCTTTTTCTTAGCATCCCTAGTTAAGAGTGGCATCCTCCCTCAGCTTTCCATCTCTCTAATGGTTTTAGGAAAGCATCAGCCACACAGGTGGTCTTGCATCAGACAAGAATGTGACTCTGTATTTTTGCTTACAGTAAGATTTTTCTGATATGATAGTCCCGTTGCGCTACAGCACTGTTTCTCCCAATATTCCCTTATTTCGCTCTTCATGCTTCATTTGTCTTATAAAAAAGTTTCCTGCAGCTTTTGCTTCTGACAATTATATGCATACATCTAAAAAGAATTTTTTCCAGAATTCTGAAACTTAAATACATTTTTGCATTCTGTTGTCATTCTTTCCCTCGTAATTTCTACCACAATTTTTATAATATGCATAAATTTCAGGTATATTTTGTATAAAAGACAATAAATTGAGGATCTTGACATTTTCAAGGAGTAAAACTGAAGTGAAAACATTATTTTTTTTTATTTTGTTTTTACTTAAAGGTTTTCCTTTTGGTCTTTTATTTTTGTGATCCTTTCTCATTCTCACAAAGCCAAATTCTTCCTATAAAAGAATTTGTGTCCAAGGATCTTTGAGTTTCACCATATCTTTGGCTTTTTAAAGTTTCTTTTCAACATAATTAGAAGTTTCCAAAACTGTATTGGACTTCAAGCATATTTAACACTCATGATAGCAAGATTATGCCTTTTATAATTTCTTTCTCCACCTAAGGCATGTCAGTAGAATTTTTGACTACAGAAATGTGGCAAATCACATCAACTAACATCTAATGTTCTTGAAGCCAATGCTAATATTTTTGATTGGCTTAAAATATGCCCCCAAAACCTGACTGAAAACCGTGATTTTAAAAAAATACATTAAAATGGAGATGACAACACCACCATGTTAATATGATTGTGCATTAACAGATATTAGTAAGTTCAGGGTCATTAGCTATAGCATAGCATCAATTTGCTGGATGGGGCAGAAACATGTTAAGGAAAGCAAAAGTAAAGAATGTGTGCTAACAAAGTCCTTCAAATTGTAATTCTAAACCCCACACGGTTTCCCTTCTAAAAATGCATTATACAGTGTTCATCCAGTAACATTATACCTTGACTAAATATTTAGTATACAGTTTAGTTTTCAATATACTTAGTTTTAGACTTACAAAATAATATGCAAATGCAATAATTAAGCTCTCTGCAGGGGAAATGAAGGTACACTTTGGGAGTTGTTTAGCACAAACCCATTTATAAATATAAGCAAACACACACACACACACACACACACCTACAACTATACCTTTAACTGCTCTTACACCTAGTAAAGACCAGGTACAAATTTCTTCAGTAAACTATCAGGGATGTTCCCATGAATGGTCCATCACACCAACTAGCTGAGTTTCATATGCAGTGCAGAGTATAAGAAATCTTCTGGACTCCCTTTCACAAAAGACTTTTCTTCTCATATCTTTTCGGATGCCAGCACAGAAACACCAGTTTCAATTTAAGTGCTCTCTTTGTTTTCTATTTTCACATTCAGTGATGACAAACTTGAAAAACAAAGGTTTGCAAACTGATTTTAATTTTTACTAGATCCGAGAATCACACATCCTTTTAGAGCATTTCAAAATTTGTATGCAACCGAAGTATATTAAACTACCAGAAAACATTTCCCAATACAATATCCTATTTTACTATCTCTCAGTTTCCATACCTTAGAGGAAAGAAATATTTTAAAAAGAATAACATAGGTTGAAGTATTTTAAAAAGATGCCTTAAAAAGATAAAAATAATTAAACATTGGTGCTGTTCAATGAAGGAATATTTATCTTATCATGATTTCACCTATCTGACTGCATTTTAGCCCCTGGCATTGTTAATCCCTTTAACAGTTTTATGTAGTTGACATCTGTTTCAGTGTGGGGCTGCACTGTTCATTTGCATGGTGAATAACTTGTTAAGGAAGACTAGCACCGTTTACCAAATAAGCCCTCTCATTTTCAGCTTCTTCCCTGGGATTGCATTTGCCATGTACAAGGTGAACTGTGTGTTCCGATTCGCCTTGCTGGCAGGTGAAGTTCAGACTCCACTTACAAAAGCCGTAAGTGGTCCAGTCCAGCCATATATACTTAATCAAGCCTTACAAACTGTAAGGGTAAGCTTCAGGATTTCTCAGACAAGCTCACAGAATTGTGACAGTTGAGTTGTAAAGTCTAATGAGGAAGGACGGTTGTAAACTTTTGGAGTGAAATTGATGATTTTCCTTTGTTATTCTTCGATGAGTTTTACTTAGATCTCGCCACCTTTGCCACTTTTGCAACCAAAAGAAAAAGAAAGGATGCACCCAATGTATTTATCCTCCTTTAAATATGTTTTGAAAAATACATGTTCTTTAACTTACTCTAAAGAGAGCATTTTATTATGAACACTTTGAAAGAAATACTGAGTTAACCTTAATATTTAAATTTAAATTAAGATAATGTGATGATCAGAAATGTGATGATTAACTTATTTGAAAAAAAAAAGAAAGCATTGTGGCACACTGACATGCTTGTAACTCCAGGGATGTGGGAAGTTGAGGCAGAAGGATGCCTACTACAAGGCTGATCTGGGCAACTAATGTGGTCCTGGCTTAAAAATGGAAGAAGCTGGGGAATCTTACTCAAGTACTAGAGCAGCTCACAGTACGCCTTCAAAACCTAAATGCGACTCAACCAACAATGTGTGTTTCCTTTACTCTCCAAACAATATTTAATCTCTGGCCTCAAGAAACATGCTATTGTGGTGCTTACTTCTCAATTCTATAAAATTAAATTCACAAATGGCAGTAAAATCATTACATTTAAAATTCAACCTAATAGACTCTAATTGGTAAAAATGATAGCTAGTATTTCCAGAATCGTTTGTGTCAGGCATACATAAATTTTATTAATCCTTACAGCAAGCCTATCTATGATTTGCATTTTATAGAGAAACTGAGGCATGTAGACTAATAAAAATGCGTAAAATCCAGACTTATCCAGCACCATGCATCCAAATACCCACTGCATTATGTCATGATTCAAAAATCAATTCACATTTAAATAACTATTAGACTCAAACATTCATTATTTACTCCAAGCAGCTTATCAGAATGATGGTAGTCAATGGCTTATATTTTTAAATTAACTACAGTATCTGTGGGCATCTCTTTCCTAGTAAAATAAAGTTTCAAAAATAGAAGAATGCTAGTACAGAAGATGTGAATTGTCATAAATTGAATTCTTATTAATACAAGTTCATTATTTTGGAATTGCATAGTGTACCATAAAATGGACACACAACTAAAAAAGTACTTTGCTACACTAAGAGTTTGACATGGTCATGTTCTTCACCTAGCAATGGGCTGTTTTTATAAAAATCATTAAGAAAAGATGAGACAAAACTTTTACAATTATTTTAAAAGCTATATATTCTTTTCTGAATTCCTATAAAAAGGAAAAAACATATCATATCACAAAGCTTTTTATAATTAAATGGAACTCATTATTTGTAACCTATTTTGTAAAACTGCGAAATATCAGATTTAATTTAGTAATAAAAAACATGATTATTGTGTAAAAGATCTTTCAAACATTTTTGGAGTTTATTTTTTTTTTAGTTGAGATGATTTTTGATAAAATTTCTACATGAAACCCTAGGTCATGCTTCTTTTTTGTAGATCGCCTATCCATTAACAGTAACTACAAATGCAGTCCTAAACAACACAGGCACATGTGTGCACACAAACATGCAACTGGACATAGGACTTCACAGGTTGTGTCAGGGATTCATTTTTCTACTTTCATATTTCAATCATTGAACCAATGCCATGAACTCTTCTAGGAATTCCTGGTAATATAGATTGAAGGTTAAGAATCTCTAGTCTAAATGTGTATTATTTGAGAAAGTATTATAAAAATCAATATATACAATGAGATGATTTTAAACAACCAGTTATTTGCCAAAAAAAGGATCAAACTATAGCTTTCATTGATATATTATCATGATATAGCTAAAAGCACATATATCAGTAACTTAAAAATTTATTGTCCCTAAGATAAACTATTAGAAATAAATATTTCAGTCATTTTTTAAAGAGTGACAAAACATTAAAGAAAAGGTTACACTATTATGGCAATCATTATTTTGTCAATGATCCTCTTGTGACAATGTTCTGAGAAATTTCAATTACAAGACATAAAGAATTATAAACTTTATAAATGAATGTATAATTCTGACAGCCAGTCAGATTAACTTAATTTTCAAATAGTTTTTCCCCTACACAGGACATAAACCTAAGAATATGTGGAAGTAAAACCAACACTTTAAAAAGCTCAATAAAAGCACTAAGAATTTTTCTTTGGTTAGCACAATTAAATTGACTATTCTAAGAAGATGTGATCAAGTTCCAAAAGCTATAAAATCAAAAGTTAGCACCTACATTCAGACTTCTGGAGTATGGTTAGGTTTGTAACCATAGCTGATTTAAAAACCATCCAATTTAAAATGGTTCCTTGACTTTTCCCTAAAAAAGAGCTACCTAAAGAA